TTGCCCGTTGAGATGCTTTAGAAAAGTCCCATAACAGTTTTGAGCTCAATTTTATCCACTAAGAAAAGATCAGTTTAAAGTATTACCACTTTCTATTTTTTAAGAATGTGATGGGGATGAAGTAGATAATTCCTGTAAAGTACCAAAGATGTCAAAGAGAAAGATTGTTTGTATTAGAAACTAATTTTGAAGTCCTGAATTTCTCTAGGGCTCCGTGACCCACTCCATCCTATCTCTAAAGTGAGGGAGGGGTGACAGGGGTCATTATTAACAGGACCACTTTATGGAACAGTGATTTCTTATTCACTTTTCACTGAAATCTAACCAGCAAACCCGAAAGTACATTTTATAATTTAAATCTAAAATCAAAGCTAAATTTCAGTTATAGTCTAAGTGCTTGCACAGGCCTAGCACTTAACTGTCACTCCATCAATATTGGATAGATGAATGAATTCAAGAATAAGCAGATAAATTATACCTGCTTCATAATTATATGTAGTGTATACAATATGTTTAACACTATATTTTATCTAGATTTGTCTCATTCTCAAAATGCAGCCTTGGTTCCTATAGTTCAACTATTTCTAAGGGTAGTAAATTGGATCACTTTCCTCCTTAGAGAATCAGGAATACAGAATCAGACCCAACCGATGTTTACCTGCTACCTTAACATCTGAATAATGCCTCTCGAATGTGCCAAAGGAAGACAAGTGGCAGTGGTGGGGAGAAGTTGAGGGACTTCAACAAGGATTTACTTAGGGGATAAGAAGAGAGGAAAAGGGAGACAGAGAAAACTGATGAGATTGGAATATTGGAAAACTGATGAGATTTGGAAATACCAAATATTTCCAAAATATTCCAATATTGGAAAATATGGTCACAAGAAATGGAGAAAAATATAACCACATATCAAATTCCATTTGGCTTCCAGTTATTTGAAGTCTCACAGTTTTGGTTAAGTTAAGTTTGGATCTTGAGAGGCATTCTAAAATTCTGTAGCTAAAGGGTAAAAGAATAAACTTAAAAATATTCAATGACATAATGTCGATGTGTATGTCTCTATATATGATGTAAGCTGCCAAACCACATTATTTTTAAAAGTACAAGTGCAATAAGATAGTTGAATTATAGCTTGAATAATTTTATAAGCCACTGCTCAAATAGCTCTTAGTTTAGCAATAATGGGGTATTACTCGAAAGCAATGTTGTTTGTCTGTTCTCTTAATGTCATTTGC